ACCGGGCCTGGGCATCTTGGATGTGTTCCTCAGGCGATGAAGGCGCATCCGTAGGGCGACTAAACAGGCGGTCACAAGGCAGACGAAGGTCTCGACCGAAGAGCTTCTGGAGATGGAGAATAGCTGGTAGTCTTGAGTTTCTTTTCGACCCTGGTATGATTTCGGCAGCTTCCCGAGCTCGATCTTTCGGACAAGGCGTCGACATTTCCAGGCGAGGATCCCTTTTGAGGATGGATAGTCATGCCATCAGATGCTGAAAGCAGCTTATTGTTTTTGAAATCTAAGGAAAAATTGTATTTCCTTAAAAAGTCCAATCCGAGTATGCATGGATCTGTAATATCCGCCACATATGCCGTGTGATGGTAGGCGGCACTTCCAAACGTGATGTTTACGTTTAACTTCCCAGTTATGTCGATCTTGTCACCAGACGCAGTCTGAAGGGTAACACAGGATGGCGTCCAAATAAGTTTATCTTTAAACTGTTCAGCTAAATCTTTCCTAATGATGGTAACATTAGCTCCTGTGTCAATGATCATATTGCAAGGAACTCCATCGATATTCCCATTGATGGACAGTCCGTTATTGTTGCCACTCACTATAAATCTTAAGCGCTTTAAAACAAGGGTTTTTCATTATCTGGCAACCTCCGTTCCTTGATATGGTCATTAATTTGTTTCCTGCGTCGTTGCTCAGAAATTGTCTCAATTTTCGTACCCTGGGGTGTTCTGCAATTCTTTCGTACGTGGCCTTCAGCTCCACAGTTCCAGCACTTTGGTTTCTTGTCAGTCCTTTTCCTTCCCGTGGCATTTAATTGTCTGTTTAAATCGTATGCCTTATTTTCCGTGCTCTGGGGAGTTCTGCAGTTCCTTCGTAGGTGGCCTTCAACACCGCAATTCCAGCACTTTAGGGTCGGTTTGTTTCACCACTATTCCGTCTTAAAGCATTCACTGGTCTTGTCAACTCATCCGTTTTCATTATCCGTGCCCTGGGGTGTTCTGCAATGCCGTCGTAGGTGACCTTCAGAACCACATCTCCAACACCTTAGAGCCACTTTCTTCTCGCTCCTACTCTGTATCAAAGCATCGACTTGTCTGGATAAATCATCTAAACGAGCCATCAATTGGTCCCCTGGGTCGTGGACTCGCACAGCTCTGACTGGGTAGCGATCTCTAAGAGTTGCTTGCTGGGCTGCCTCCAATTTCACGGCGTACAACAGAGCGCTTTTTACATCCTTTACATCTGCCATTCGCAGTGCTTTCTGTATTTCAGGGTCCCGGATGCCATCGATGAAATATTGCAGGGACAGGATTTCCCTTGTTTCTGTCGGGCACTCCGAAAAGGCGAGATGGGACAGCCTTTCAACATCCGTGGCGAGCTCCTGAAGTGTTTCGGTGGGCTTCTGTTGACGAGATTTTAATTGGAGCCTGCTGTAGTCTTTTAAACACTTTCTCGCCCAAAGCGCAGCTCCAAGCGCCGGATAGAGCTTCGAAATCTAGCCTTTGATTTTCGGGAAGCGTCTGCAGGATATCCGCTGCGTCTGCTCTCAGAGAAGCGGCGAGATGACAGGCCTTAGCTTGGGAATCCCATCCATTCGCATCCGCAACGATAGAAAATTGTGTCCTATACACCTGCCAGGAGGTCTTCCCATCATATGTAGATAGTTTCAGAACGGAACGAGCAGGCATCGATAAAAATTTGAAACCTTCAGAATTGTTTCCTACCGTCGCTATGCACTTCTTTAGGCTGTCAACTTCTTTGGCGACGGCAGCAGAAACCCTATCATCAATTTGTTGTTCGACGGCAGAAACTCTCTCTTCTATATGTTCTTTTACAGAAGAAATTCTTTCTTCTACTTGTTCTTTTACCGAAGAAACTCTTTCTTCTATTTGTCCAACTTTAGTTTCAACCGCGTCTATTCTGCCTTCCATAGCCTCAAATTTATTTTCTATTACGCAGGTAATTTCTCTTTTCATTTCGTCCTGACCTGCTTTCATCTCATTTTTAAGAGATTTCATCTCTTCCTTAACGGATTCCTGGCCCAACTTCATTTGTTCCTGTGCCGCTTTCATTTCTTCCTTGAGGGATTCCTGGCCCAATTTCATTTCTTCTTTAAATGAGGCAAAGGCTGATATTAAATGCCTTAATTGTTCTTCCATCGCTCTTGTTATTGGCATTCAAATCCCACTTCTGACACCAAAAATTGTTGCGTGCGTACGGGTTCGTTATGAAATGAATGCACAAGTCCGATGAAAAATGAACAAAAATTTATTATTATCACAACAAAATGCTTAAAATTTCTCAAATTATCATGCAGTATTACAATATCTCACAGTAGTTATCTTTTAACTACTTAAATGTACAATAGAACGTAATTCAAAACAGCTAAAGAACGCTAATCCGCGAATTCGCTATAATCAACAACGGCAGTTTTCTAAACAACAACAAACTAAGCAACTACTACAAACTGAGATGTTTTCCTCCTTTTATAAGATTTTAAAATCACGCGCTAGAATTTTCCAGTACTTTCTCGAAATCAAAAAGAGATATTTATTTATTTAACGCACGCGCTCTTGTATTTTTAATTTTTCCGGCTTAGCTTTCTTTTAATATTCGTCACGCGCTGCACTGCGCGAGAAATAAAACCATTTAATTTATAATTGAACTAACATTAGCTTTTTTAAATACCAAGTTCGTAACAATACTATTCTTTCTTCCTAAATATGCCCAATATCTGTCTATCGTAAATTTGTAATGCAAGCTATGTTCATTTTCATCGGCTGCAATGCATAACTGGAATGCAAGCTGAGCTCTTTGATAATCATCAATAGGTTAAAAAATAAGGATAATAGTTACCCAGAAACGGTTCTATTGATTTGAAATAATAATTTATTAGTAACTGTTGTTGATTTTAAGGCAACCATTTATTGGCAATTGTCGGGTTGGTGGATGATTAATGTTGTGATAATGTAATGTAAAGAATATCCTGTTTCATTTGTTTAGTATTTTATGTTTCAGACTGGTCAAAGTTTATTAGTGACTATAGGTACATCATTTGAAAAAAACAGACTCAAAAATTGATGTTCATAACTTAAAAACAGGGCTTTATCACATATAAACATTTTCATCCAAAATAATATATAAATATGATCTGAACATCTGTTTATATTTTACTGTAGTGACCTAATACAGTACAAAGTCCGAAATCCGGACTGGGCGATTCTGGATTTTGGATTTTTCCGGATAATAGATCATCAATTGAAATCTGGTAAGGTGGCATGCAGAAATTATACAATTAAAAATATTAAATCATAATTTCTGAAATAAAGAACAATTATGATCTAAAGGGTATCAAAATTTACAAAAAAAAGCTTGATATTTATTTGTTTCTTTATTAAATATTTCTTTCAATGTAAGTTGTTTAAGATGCTTCCACAAAAAAATTCAAAAAAGTTCCTTTTTTTTTTTCTTGTGTCAGTTACAGTGGAGTTTCCAATGCCATACTCCTCGCATAATTTTGAAATGGATATGCCTTTATCCATTTTTTGCAGCAATTTCACTTTTTGATTAATGGACATCGAAACATGGTTTCGCTTTGTAGATCCTTCGGCAACTCCAGAATAGGAAACTCTTTTTGACATAATCGAAAGCTTAATTTTTATAAAATTGCCATAATAATAAGAATCTGCAAAAAATAATAAGCTGGATCAAATTAGAAGATCAGGGAGCAGTGCAGGCTGCTACATTAACTGAAATGCCTTGGAATCAGTGAAGATAATTTTAGCCTAGCTTAATAGCGTCCATTATACATTATTGGCTGTGTATCACAAAATTGGCGACAAAAGCCTAAGTTGTTTCGCTAAATTCTGGCTTGATCCTACTGCCTACTGAATTAAGCCTGAATTGTATTAGTTATTTACTTTACTATCTTGCACTTGCTTAAAATTAATATAAGTCCTGAATAAATAAACTCCCACAAATACTAAAGGTTTTATCTAGGGCCGGCGCTCGATACCGGGTTCAGTCCCTTACGGATGCTACAAATTCGCCTTTTCCTAAGTTCTAAATTTTCTCCACATGTAAACTTTGGATCCCAGTGCTTTCCCTAAATCATTAAAAACTTCCTCATCTCTTAATTTTGTCGCTTCAGTGCTTCTCCAAATTCCAAAAATTTCGTCTTCCCTAAATTCTGTCATCTGGTGCCGACATATTCGTCCTCCGCTTCTGCGTTTATGGAGAATAACATATCAGTTATTCTTAATTAAAATAGCATTAAATGTAATCTTTTGACCTATTAGTTTCATTAACAAAATCTATTTTTAGCATATGAAAAGAAATTTTTGTTGAATTTTTCCTCGTCAACATTTCTTAGAGCATTTAAAAATCTATAATCATCGCCAAGCATAATGTTAGCATAAAAAGTTGGCATACTCTTGTTATTCAATTACTAATATAAAAAAAAAGTTTAGACATCACAGCATGAGTTATTACTGAAGCTGTCATGTATTGATAAACATGCAGTGATGAAAGCAACTCACCAGTTCGGGATCGGGAATATAAAATAGGTGAATATTTCGGTTTGAGATGTAAGCCAAGTAGATACTCAGCTAGGGAGCCAAATTATTAATCTCACAAATTTATGCTTACATGATTGTTTTTCCATAACAAGGTATTTTATTTGGTGCCTAAGTGAAATTAAGAATCGGAATTTTTAAGTGAAAATCTCCAGATGTTTTATTATGGAAGGAAAAATCAAATGTGCATGGGTAAAGAATTAATAAAAAAAAAATGTTTGTGGCTTTTAGGTCTGGATTTTAGATTATTCCGGATAATGGACTTCCAGATTTCAGACTTTGTACTGTATGTGTGTGTTCAGTTATATCAAAGATGGTGAATGTTTGTGTCTACAGTCTGTTTTTAATATTGTTATATATTCATGTTGTTCTTAACTTTTCACTAAACCTGTTGTAGTCCTCAAATAAATGTATAAATTATTATTTTAGATGTGATGCAAATGGCGGGTAGAGCTGGTCGTCCACAGTTTGATACCACAGGTGTTGCAGTTGTCTTAGTGCATGATATTAAAAAAGATTTCTACAAAAGATTCCTGCATGAACCATTTCCAGTTGAATCCAGGTATATGGCCATTCATCTAACAATTTAAAAAAGTGGAAATATTTATACTTTTGTGAAGTAATATAGTTATCTTCAATGTTTCAGTTTGATTGGAGTCTTGCCTGAGCATTTAAATGCTGAGATTGTTGCTGGTACTATATGTTCAAAGCAACAGTGTCTGGATTATCTGACTTGGACTTATTTTTTCAGAAGACTCTTACAGAATCCAGCGTATGTAAAGTTTAAATTAATATAAAAATTATTAACTTAATGTTGTAAATTAATGTAAAATATGAGATGTTCCACTTGCATTTTTTAATATTATTACACTGAAAATAAAAATGCTGTAAAGGTTGAAATAGTAGAATCAAGAGCAGTCAGGATATGCTGGATAACTGCCGAAAGTCAGTTTTTGGGAGTTTTAAAAAGCAATGGATCTATTTAATAGATCCATTTCTTTTTAAAATTTTTCAAAATAAAATCTTCTGACCATAGTTTTTGTTGTCTGAAAAAATGTACCAAGACCAATCGAGATTGTGTTAAAAATATTTTGAAATTGAAAAAATTTTAAAAGTATGTAAATTAGTTTTGTGATGCAAACTATTTGGACTTAAAGCAGGTGCAAGAATTTTCTTACTAAGTAATAGTTCACATGCTGTAACAAAAATTAGAATTTATTTGTAACTCTTATGGCTTTGAAAAAATAAATTATCTTACTTCAGTATCTTCTGACAATAAAGAATATATCTGTATTTTTAAAGACATATTTATATGATGCTAATCTAAATTCATGAAGTGGTAATAAAATAGCTTACACTTGCACAAGAACCACGCAATTCAACAAAGGGGGGGGAACTGAAAAAATGTAAGTGTGTAAACTCATTTGAGCAAATGAATTTGCAAATGATATCAAAAGTGATAGTACTGTCACAATTACATTAACAAAAAAATGTCAAATGGGAACACCCATTTTTTGGCATTGGTGTAATTGGCATAGTGCAAAACCAGAAATGGATTGTGATAATGCCCATAGCTTGAAAAATTCCAATACAAAAATGCACTGACAAAGGATTCAGAAAGAAAGACAAAAAGAGAAAAGCAGTGCACAATCATGTTAAAGAAATTAATTTGTCTCACTAGTAGTAGCGAACTCAAAAAACTGTGTACACCGGGCAAACAAAAATGCCTGTAGTTGTTTATCATTCCAAGAATCAAGAGTAACTGGATAATGCAGCATTTGCATGTATCATCATCCTTGGCCTCTTTTTCTTCAAAGATATAATTCAGAAGTGTTATATATGTTTATTGATACAGATACTCTCTATCCAGCAAAAAAACATTTAAAGCTACACTTCTCCAGAGGTGCAGTGAAATTATCTATGACCTTTGGTTGGATCAAAATGGCACAACCAAATGACTTTTGTCAAGTATAATACAACAGCACTTTGATGACAGAGTTATATATTTCACCATTTTGGCCTTCTGAAGCCATTGTGTTTCCCAAACCTCACACCAGTTGCTTTCCATTTATTTCTAGTATTTGAAATCCAGAATGTAAATGATGATTCAGAGAAGTGTATCTGACTTGAAAGACCTAATTTAATATGACAGTCTCCTGCTTTCTTATGCAGTGTTACATGCATTAGTAATGTTACATCCTGCATGAATCATCACGAACATAGGTAGTATTGTACAACATTTGTAATCGAGGTAAAATGCTTTGTTTTCTATTGCTTTTCTTTCTTCAGTTATTGTTCCCACTTCTCTTTTTTGCTACTGTTCATGTAAACAAATTTTTCAAGCTGCAATCCAATACCATTTATGTTTTTTTTTTTCTTTTCCAATCACACTGTGAGGCAAAAAAGGTGGGTGCTGTTATTTAAAATTCATTAACTACAATTGTAATCATGTGAGCTTGATTACTGTCAGTAACATCATTACATAACTTGCACTCTTTTACATCTTGGGAAAATTTTTTTTTTTTTTTTAGTTTTATTTTGATTTATTGAATTGCTGAGTTTCTGTGGTTTATTTATATGGAAAGAACCATCATGTATATGAAAATAAGGAAAAAAATATTAAAATGCTGAGATATGCAGATAAAAAAATAATAAAAGTATTTGGTGATATAATGCTGTTTTGAAATTTTCTAAAATTTCAAAGCATTTCAAGCCTTTAGTTTATTTTTGGGAATAAAAGTCTAGAATAGGAAACTTTGTTTTCAGGTAATGCTTCCTTACATTTTTACATCAATTATGCATCAAGATATGCAATCTTTGTTATTAATGTGCATTAACTAAATGAGGCTACATACAACAGTAAAAAAAATAATGCTTGAAAAATCCAGTCTAAAATCAAGTAATTCTAAAATCGTTGGGCAGTAGGAAGGTGCATCATGTTTGTGCCATTAAAAAACTCTTCATATAACAGTCAGTATGCTGACTGTAAATTAAATGTATGATTGATTTGGTTTAGTGAAGAAGTTATCAAAGTAGTATATTTTATAGTATCACAATAGTGTATTTTAGGATAGCTGTATTTACTGAATTGAATAAAAGTATCAGTACCAGCTGTAAATAACTGCAATTCTCATGACAATGCTTTTATTCAAGCATACTGAAGTAACTAATAAGAAATCTCTAACTTAAGTGTTTAAACAATTTGATGACTTTTAACTTCAAAATTGCAAATTCAACGAAACATTGAGAAAAAGTTTTCATTAATGCTAGTGGCATTATTGCAAATAAAGTAATATACAGGACATTGCTAACAGTTCTGCGAATTAAGAAGTAATGTTAAACAATTTAGCTGGTGAATTGGCATAAATAGGTAGCTAAAAATATGTAAACATTTAGGAGTGTAGTGCTGTTTTATGGCTTACTGAAATTCCAGACTTCATATTTATGTCTCTTGTTTGTGTGGATTTATCTGTCAGCTACTTTTAACTGATAACTTTCTTTTCAAATGTATAAAATCAGCCGTTAAGATTTTCAATCTAATTTGAAATGCACAGTTTGAAGACCTTTTTTGTTTGTGGAAAATATTTCCTATAAATCTCTAAATAAACTCTTAGTGAATTCTCCACTGCTGTAAAATTATGTATTTCATTAATGTATTACTATGTTTTTTTCTGTCACATATATTGTTTTCAAATTAAGTTTTAAAAGTAAGTGCTTTGTCAGTTTATCAAATAATCTAATTGTTACCTTACTTTATCTAGTTCTCCTCACATGTTGACATTAAATAATAATATCAATGTAATTTTAACATAAATGCACTTGCAGAATTCATGCTTTTGAAATACATAATGAACCTATGCACTATGATGATTAATTTTATCTCAAAAGTATTTATATGTCGATATTGTATATGGATAGTAGTATTTAAGTATTAATCAATGGAATTTTTTTTAATCCAAAGAGACACTGTCCCTGAAGGACTATTATTTTCATTTTACGATTTTTTTGTTGAATCACTATAAATGGCGTATCACTTTTCAAATAATTGCTGCCAAATATTAGAGTCCTGCATTATATTTGAAGAAATTTAAATAATGAAGAATCTGCATAAATGTATGCATGTTTCTCGCATTGTGATAGAACAAGGATACCTAGAGCCATCCAATTTTGAATGTTGAAATCCTACTGCGAATATTGGCATCTGAAAGCCCAAATTCGAAATTTGGAATTTGTTTTATTATCGATTTCATATTTTGTAAAACTTTAACGAATTTTTGATTAACAAACTCAATGATTTAAAAGGGAGCAATGGTAACACTGTAGAGGGAAATAAAACCTTTTTATCTCCATCCTGTGTAGCTGTGTATCAGAAATTCTAAAGATATGCTCATTTTAAAACTATTTTGCGACATTGCTGTTGAACTGAATTTTATGGTTTAATGCAAAGAACATGATATTTAATAAATAAAGGTAACACACAAAATGTTAAAAAAAATGCGTCTTTGGACGTAATTTGAAATCTGAAACCATTCAGATTTTTTATTATTATATTTCTTCCCCCTCCCAATGGCGAGCACTTGCCTACGCCAGCATCGGCCATTTCTAAGGCCAGATGTGGTAGTCTCTTTATTATGGAGGCACCTAATATGTGGGCTACCATTGCCTCCTATGAAGGGACAGACAATTACATCCATGCCTTCTCTGGGATTCGAACCTGAGCCCTTCGGTATCGAAGTCAGGCTCCCCTAATCACTATACCTTCTGGGAAGCTTAATAAATGAAAGTTATTAAATGTGTATGTTCTGTTACCTTTTAAGTAATTGCAATGAATGAGCGCAATTTTTGAATTATATTATATTTTATTATAATAATTTGTGTATGTCTATATGTATTTAAAAATTAGTTATAAACTAGGATTATTTTTGATTTTATAGTTTATTTATATATCATTTATATTTATGAAATTTCTAAACCTTTGTTTATATAGATATTATGGATTGGAAGATGCTGAAGCCTCAAATGTGAATGCTTATCTCTCTGGTCTTGTTGATCGTTGTGTTAGCTTGTTATCTTCTGCTGGCTGTGTAGCTGTGGGTGATGTAAGAATTAATTGAATTCCCTAGTACCCATACCCCTACATATAATCTTATGATTCATTCACACATATTGTTTAAATTTTATAAAGTCCCCTTTTTTTGTATAAAAATATAATTAATTTATTGCAGTTATCCTGTTGCATGAAATTATTTTGTAATATGAACATGTGTATGGATGTAATTTAATTACCAATATAATATTTAATTACCAATATATATCTTTATAAATCCTAAAGAAATTTTGGAACTGCTTGTAAATTTCACTACTAGTTCAGCATTGTTAAAATCAAAAGTAACTTATTTTTTTGTACGGAAACTTAATAATGCAAAATTTTAAATATCTTTCATGTAGCATTATGTTTACCTTATAACATAAAAATTAGCTGAAACTTTTGCTGTATAGTAAACCCTTTAGTTAGTGCACTTAATTATTATAAATTTGAAACAAACATCAGCAAAGGCAATTTTTTCTGCTGAGTCTATGAAATTGTATGTTATTAAAATATTGCTATAATATATAATGCTACTCTGTGCTTCAACCCATTTAACTCTTTCTATTCAGCAATATTTGAATTCAACATTTGATCAAAGATGGATTTGTTGTGGTTCTCCTATTCATTGGCCAGCATGCTCATCAGACCTGTCCTGTCTAAATTTCTTTCTGTAGGGTTACCTGAAAGGCCTGGTGTATGAAACACGTGTGGCCAGTGTGGAGCGATCATCTACGAGACTTCTAGTATATTTTAAAAAGTTTGTGATCTAAAAGCTGGTGTCATGCCTGTGTTATAGCTGATGTTTGTAACTTTGAACACTTATTGTGTCTTCTGAATATTACATTTGTAACTGTTTGCTGATTAATATATAATGTTGTCCAACCGGTATAATTGTTAGTGACATAAACTGCTGAGCTGGCTCTCGACCCAGGTATATTTTCTATATTCATGGTGATTAGAAACACCAACTGCCATGCTGATAGGCCCAGGTTTGAATCCCAGAGAAGGCATGGATATTTATAAGCATATAGTGTTTTTGCAGCAAGGGAGCACTCAAGATATACAGTGAGTTGAAAGTCCTTTCAAGAGGTTGGTGGTAAGAGAAGAGGGTGGAATACCCTTGTTCCCTCTCATGGAATGTTCACTCTCAAAATTAGTTCGAAACACCAATTTTGAGTTAGTGTGGCTGGACTATACCTGTATGAACAATGGTGAAACAGCTACTTCTACCTGTTCCCGATTAAAATAATATTCACATCACTCTCTGTCATCTGTTGTGTGTCCTTCTCTGTAAATTAGCACACGAAGATTGTGTTTCTATTCCTAAATTGCTATGCAGTTCTGAATAATCTTTGAACATCCTACACCTTCCTGAAGTTTATATATGCTTAAGTGAATCACCCTGTATTACTGGAAAATTTAACTGTCATTCATGCTTGTTGATTACAATCCCATACAAGAATTACTTTACATTGTATTGATTTTTTTTTGGTTACAATTCTTAATTATGTATTTGATTTTTTTCGGAACTATTTAATTGAGCAGTAGTGCCATGCAGACCACGTGTTAAGAACCACATTCTTACGAAGAACTGGGCAGAAATATTTTTAAATGTGGAAAAGTCGAGCTTGGATGTTTAATTTTATCTGTGCATTGGCCCATTCTTCAGTAGTTGTAAATTAATTTTGCACTTCCATAAAGAAGACTGTTCTTCCCCATCTTCCTTAGTTATCAGATTTAACCTCTTGCAAATATTTTTTTTACTAAAAATGAAAATGGAATTCAAAAAGAAAAGGTTTGAGGTGGTAGATGAGATTAAAAAGGTAAACAGGATTTGCCGAAGGAAATGACTTCTTTGGATGCCTGCAAGCACTGAAGTCTTACTGAGACCAAAGCATCTGTGCAATAAGGAATTACTTTGAAGGAAATAAAGTCAGTAACATATCATGCTTGTCTATAATTTTTAATAATTTCAGGAACTTCTTGCTGGCTCCTTGTGTTATATCTGATCATTTCATGTGCAAACATTGTTTCTGATTTTTTCCATTTAGGATGAAAGAGCTATAGCACCCACTGTGCTAGGAAAAATCACATCATACTACTATTTAAATCATAAGACAGTTCTCTTATTTTCACAAAAATTATGCAAAGAAATGAAAATGGAGGAGATACTTCAATTGCTTTGTGATACACATGAGTATGAAGAACTACCAGTGCGTCACAATGAAGATCAAATAAATTCGTAAGCATATTTTTTTTTTTTTCCTTATTTAGTTGCTTTCGAAAAGTGTATAGAAAAGAGTCAAGTAATACGTAATAATTTTTTATACATCTCTATTTACAGAGACCTATCAAAGCGTTGCCCCCTTCCTGTAGAGCCATATACATTTGATAGCCCTCATACCAAAGCTAATTTGTTATTTCAAGCCCACTTCAGTCGCTTGCAACTGCCATGTACTGATTATTATACTGATTTGAAATCAGTTTTGGATCAGGCCATTCGAATCATTCAGGTAAGATATAGTTGAGAAGTCTTAGGAAGCTAATTTAAAATAATAGCGATGTAATTTTAGGAGTCTAAACAAAATGTAATAGTCGTATAGTCCATACATTCATTTGTGGATGCGTTCCTTGTTTGAATCTGTCTAAAGCATGACATTTGTGTATGTTTTTTACATATGTCCTTAGTCTAGTATTCCTTTTGAAAAGTTTATTGTTGGGAAAGCCTTTTAAATATCAGAGATGACTGTCTCATAGAATGTCCATTCCCCGAAACCAGAACAATTTCATAACAATTCTCAACACAAATGTGCAAGTCGAGCATTGTTTGAGAAAACACAAACTTTCACCATAGTGCAGTGGTATAAAAGGTTCTGACCTCTTTATACCATTGCACCTTTCAAATAAAATTTAAGTTGTCTCTGTAATTAATAAAAACAAATTAGAATACATTACTGGCAACTCTTTTTTTCACCACATCCCCAGTCTTTGGTAGATAACAAAATCTCTGGTTTTTAAAGTTTAGCCTTTATTAATTGAAATGTTTCGTAGCAATAAATTAAATTTGAAACTTAAATTATACAAATTCCGTTCCTCCACCTCTAAATGATTTTCAGAATAATTTTTCTTATTAAACTTTATTTCATATGAACTGTCCCCCCCCTGATTACATGTTATTGATCATATTAAATTTCATTTGATCTGAATTGTTTTAATCTACTGTAAGTATTTATAAATTGTTACTTAAAGATTCAAGCAATGTTTAATCATTTTATATTTAATTCTGTTTATTTCAGTGTATGGTACATTAGTAAGTTTATTCACACAAATACTATGTACACTGCGCAAAAAAAGGGGGACAGTTTTATATCTCCCATTTTACTACGCCAATTGACAAAATTGAAATTGTGTTTTTCATGTCTCGAAAGCACGACATAGGATATTTATTAGATTTATATATAGCGTTGTTCTAACATAGGTGTTTTGACACAAAATCAGACTTTTTCTGAAATAGCATACCATCTTTTTCCATATTTCGACCCTACGACTCAAATTATGTCTAGATATAAAATTTTCTCATTTTTGGTGAGAAATTTAAAAATTTAACTGTGGCACATTTTTTTTTTTTTTTTTTTCAGTTTGCACCAAGAATAATTCACTTGGCAAACATCTTAATTTACAGCAATCTATTTTCCATTCCTTTTTTTCTTCGTACATGAGCGGAAAAATGGTCATCGTTGATACTTTCAAATAATTTTAACAGAGTAAATCACATTTGGCGTTATCATTGCTTATAACAAATATGCCAAATTTCAAAACACACCAATATGTTAATTCACGTATATCTTAGCAAATTTTGAATAAAAACTCTAATTTTTTGCAGGTATGCTTAAAAACACATCTACTTTAAGGTGATGGTAAAAACTTTATAGGTTATAAATCCAAATGTTTTTGTGATAAGTTTATAAAATATATTTAAAATACAAATTTTAAAAATAAATCAGAAAAAATGTGGTAATTTATATTTGGATTAAGACTTGGAAGAAGAAATCAAGTAAATTTAATGTAAAAAAGAGATACTAATAAATATGTATCAAATTCAATGAACATTGAGGAGTTACAATTTTGAGAGCTAATTTTTTAAAAACTACTCATGCGATTTTTACAAAGCTTGGCAGTTTGGCATAATTTGAGTCGTAGAATTGAAGTTTGGAAAAAATTGGCATGCTATTTCAGAAAAAGTCAGATTTTGTGTCAAAATACCTGTACTAGAACAATGCTATATATAAATCTAATGTGTATCCTAAGTCGCACTTTCGAGACTTGTAAAACGCAAGTTGAATTTCTTTAATTGGCCCAGCAGAATGAACTTATAGAACTGTCCCCCCTTTTTTGCACATTGTACGTTAATTATTAATTTTATTTCCATTGTAATTAAAAGTGCTTTTCTAAATGAAAGCTTTATTTCACTACCTGAGATTTTCTCAACATAAAAGTTAAGGAAAATATAAAAATGAAATTTGCCAAAGAATATAATTTAGAATATCCAATGAAATTCTACTATATTTTCACCAGAATTGAATTACAGATATCTCAATAACTTGAACCATGCAAATTAAGCTCTGTTTGGAGTTCTTTAAATTGGTGTCACCATGCAGTGTGAAAAACCTCCTGGCCCCCTCACAAAAATCTCTCAGTTTTTAAGACTTCAATGTTGACAGCTATGGAATACCACTTGCATAATGGTGGCTCAGCTTTAAGATGCCTGCACCTTTAATAAGATTGCTTTTTCAAGTTGTACCCCTTATCTGCATAAGAGTATGTGCATCCTAATGAAGATATATTTATTTTTAAATTAAGGCTGGCTTCCATGAGCACTTCTATAATGGGGCATCATTATCAAGATATCCGTTGGAGCATGTGGGAGATGGTTATGTAGAAGTTTGTGACCATTCTGGTAACTGCTGATTCTCTTTAAATGCTAGGATATAACAAAAAAATAATTGTGATTTTTCGAAGTTTTTTCTAAATACAAGATGTTGCTAAGTCTAGTTGCAAGGTACCTTGATATAATTTTGCTGATTACTGGATAAATTTCAGATATCACTGAGTGGCATCGCAGAATTTGTTTGTGGTATTCATGCAAGCTCCAAAGTTTTGTGCCAAGAAAATGGAAGACTAGATGTGTCAGTCTTCAGTTCTCCACGCTCTGCAGATCGAATTAGGTATATATGTAATCTGCAACCTGGAAGAAAGGATGTATCATTTGCCATCAAACTGATCTGAGTTCACTAAGTGCATTGTTATAATTTATGCAAATATTGTATTTTGATTATTGGTTTATATATGTTTAATTTTATTTTGTGTTTTATTCTTATTTTATCATAATTTTATGTTATTTCTGGCATCTTTTTGTGTAGTTTTTAATTTTTGCTAGGTTCTATTCTCATTTGTTTAATTACTTAGTTATTTTGTTGAACTTTTAATCATGTTTAAATGGATACTGAAATAAAAGAGAGTCATAGACTGTCAGTACTAACCAGCTGTAGGTTATATTCTTATGTGTTTAATTGCTTAGCTATTTTTTAGAACTTTTAATTCTATTTAAGTGGACACTGAACTAAAAGAGAGTCATAGACTGTTGGTACTAACAAGGTCTTGTAAACATTTGGCAATTATTTGCTAACTTGGCAGTATTTTGAAGTTTATGGAGTTACATTTTTAAAATTTTGGAATTGATTTTTCTTGGAGATTCTGATAGTGCTACCTACCTTTTAGAGCATGAAAAGCCATTTATCATTTGAAAGTTAATCTGCTTAAGCATGCTGCATTCTGCTGAGGTGTCTTGTGATTGCAATATTCATCTTGCATTGAGAATTAATTAACTTTTAATGTTATCTCTTGTTTCTCTCTGAGCTGATAATTATTATTTTTAGAAAGGATAACTGCTTGGAGATGTAATAAAGGTTCAAGTTTTCTTCATTTAAAGTCCCCCCTTTTTCTTTTTGAAGAAATAAATCCTTAAAATGTAAACATTACGGGCTTTCATCTGAATCTGTGTGTTTTAAAATATCAGTGATGGCAAGTATACGGAACACCTAATATGGCATGGATTTTTGGAAACATTTGTATAAGTTATATAAAGTATAAACCAAATGAAATTTTAAGTATAAACTTTTTGCTTAAGCAAGTTTGGTTTTGAATTAAGAACTGTATAGTATTGTCGTATGTTGGCTACTTTTTCATAAAATGGATGTAAGATCTGTTAGCATTGTTTAAAATTTATGTTCACATGTGTAGAACAAAGTTGCTCATAAATGGGGAAAAAGAAAGAAAATAACGGGCATTTATTTAAATCATTTTTTCTTCATTTAGAAAAAAACTATAGAACAAATGTGCCAAATGCACCGGGTTGGCAAAAAATTATCACCAAAATGTTTGGGGGAGAAAACTGCATTTTCACAACATGCTAGGCTTAAAGTGCAAATGTAAACAAAATTGAGAAGGCAGCACTTAATGACATCATAATGGCCAGGACTAAGTTTATGACGTCGCAATGTATTCTTAAGTTTTATAATGCATTTAATATTTCTACTGATAATAATAATTTGTTTATTATTGTAATTTAAGTTCTTTATTTTAAATTTATATTCCTGATAAATAAGCTTTGGTTTTACTGAAAATAAGCATAATAAATTGTTTATTTTAAATTGCCATTATAGAATAACACCATTTATTGAAACATTGTAAACAACATCCCTTCTTGTATACTTGTATTTTAGAGAACTCCAGTATTTTAAAAGATTTTTTTAAGGATTAATACAAATAAAAAAAATTTCTTTTTAATTTAAATTTGTGTTGCAGAGCCCTTTAATTCTACCATTTTGACAAATGATTGAATCGCTACAGAACTTTTTAATCCCTTATTTACTATTAAGTAGACAATTTTCATTATTTTATAAGAATTTTACAAAATGACTGTATTAATTTTTAAAAAAAAATTTACAGCAAATGAACATAATACATAGCTTCAGATTCCTGAATGATGTTATACTTTCTTTGCACATATTAGTATTCCATACATCAATAATTGGAAAATATCTAATTTATCTTCAATAAAAACCATAAATTTGGAGTATACACAATCTTTTAAATAGAAAATATAGTAAGTGTGATTACAATAGCAAACACTGTGTATTAAAATAATAATGCAAAAGTTACATATTGGATGCAAGTTTGCAATTTTCGCAACTCTGTTAAGATCATTAAACTATCAATAAGTCAGAAACATTATCAACATACCAAAAGAAAACAACGCAAATTCAAAAAAAAAAAAAAAAAAAAAAAACTTCTGTTTGCGTGTAAAAGCCATGCGTATATGCATCATTACTAACACCAACAGAATATCTATGTAGAAAACCAAAACCTATTGTCATCCAAAGTACATGGCTCATTACTCTAAGCAACAGATTTTCATTGACATTCCAGCCATAATAAATAAGGCAATAAACAAGCAATCAAAATGGGTCCATATATCCAGATAACATCCACGTGTGATTCAGCACATAAAATCCGCATGAGAGAAGCAACTAAATAAAAAATCGCTTACGTACAGTGTTTTGTATTAGCCAACATTATTTCTCAGCTAATACAAAACATACAGAAATGCCTAAATTAGTTAAAAGGCTTGTCATATGAAACAAAATCTTGCCAAGATCTCATGGTTACCATACAAGACAAAATATCTCCAAATTTTGCAGCCGGTGCATCTAGCACATCTGTGCCGAAAATATAATTTCAACTTTTGACCAGAAAATCGGTAATAGCAAAATGCATGCATCCTTTGAATCAGCTGTCATTAAGTGCTGCAGTATAAGATATTTTCATAAACAGTGCAGGACGTATAGGTTTATCCTAAAAGAAATAGATATTTTCAGAGTTTAATGGAAGTAAGTGTTTTAATAGTTACTACTGTAATGTGTTTAAGATATCCAAAATTATATGTAGGGGAGTAACCAAAATTCATCTCTTGATATATTCCCACAGGTAGTCACATGATGTTAAATCTAGACCTTGGTGGCCAACCATATGCCACCAGAACCATATTCTGGTTTTCCGAAGTGTCAGTGCGTCACTGAGACTGATTTTTACCCAAACTGTATTCTAAAAGTTTGTCTAGAAATTGCATTTAAAAGTCTCACTAAAAGTATTCTAAAATAATGTTGTACAATAGTTGTATTCCCCCCCCACAGTAGTCAAACAAATAAAAACTTTTTTTATCTGATTTATGGCTGTATTGCTTGATTGTCTTCAAGAAAACTTTGGTGAAGTTGGCGCTAAAGTGCTTCCTCTTAAAAACAAGACCCTTTCAATTTAGAAGCATTAACCTTTTTGTTTTAGTCTAATCCTGTATAATGTGAGCCTGGAATAAAGTCAAACTTTTGCCATCATTGCAGAGTATGCCAGTGCATGAATGAAACCTTCAGCAACTTCAGAAAGGATTATGGTGCATTGAAATCATAGTTAAATACCAACACAAGGTTATTCATAATTCCCTCCAAGGTTTCAGAAGGCTAGAGAAAAACTAAGATGAATACAGCAAATAAAAACATTGCACTAAGTACAGAAACAGTTCAAGTTTTATTTACAGCCCTTACAAGTGTTCTATATGTCAGCCCTTGGTCATATGGCATACATCAATGCAATAGTCCAGTTCCTGCCAAACTCTATTCAACATGGATCGTGAATCGTATTGACAGCACATGTGATCCTTTCACACCATTCTGCTAAATCACATTGCAGAGGGACTAAGAAAGCAAAGTCCTTTACATAACCCCACAAGAAAGAGTCACATAGTGTTAAATCCAGTGAGCATTTGGGCTGTGGAAAAAGATATACATCATCTTCGGAAACTTCCTGAATCCAATGATAAGGTAATTGTGTGTTTAGATGCTTACCCACATCTTACAGGAAATGAGATGGAGCTCCATATTGTTGACAAATGAAGTCATCATTCTCATGTTTGTATAACTGCAGCATTAACCACAATTGTAATATATTTATGTACACTACACTAGTAACAATCTGTTCTGTAAAAAAAAAAAAAAAAAAAAAAAAAGGCCTGTGCATGTGAGAAAGAGATAGCACAAAATACACGAAGTTCCGGGAAATAACAACAGTATTCTGCTACTGCATGAGGGTTTTCAGTGTTCCAAATGTGTAAGTTGTAGTGGTTTACCTTGCTGAACAAGTGAAAGATGGATTCATTACTAAAAGTCATTTTCTGCAGTATTGAATCATTGGCTTGGACATCGATGCGAAAGTTCATACAAGAAATGCAATCCCATAAAGTTAGCACCATTTGCAGTCGGTATAGCTTCATATGCAGAGTTTTGTATACCATTCGCCATGCTGTTGATTGCAAAATCCCCGTTTCACAGCTTGCATGAACGGTTGATTTTGCTGAACTACTCAAAAAACATTTCCTATACATCACTTACAGTTTCTGCAAATGGACTTGGCAGACCACTTCATTGCTTAGGACACATGCATCCACTTTCTTTGAACTTGTTGTACCACATATAAATTGTGTTGTCAGTGGGTCCCTGTGTTCGATATTTTACATGAAATGCCCACTGCATCAATACCCCTCCGATTTAGCAAATTCTGACGCACAAAAAGCTTTTTGTTTGCCCATAACACCATTTCGATTCACTTGCTTCTTCTTTCAGTTGTATGTGTACTGCCATCTTCTGCCAGCTGCTATTCTGAGAAACTTGAATAGTTTCTGTATTTAGTACAAGTTTATTTTCGCTGCATTGATGTTAGTTTTTTTACTGTAGCATTTTGAAACTCCCCAGGGAATTATGAATAACCCAGTATAATCTCATTTTTTGTGCCTTCTTTATTTAGTCAAATGTCACTGACAGAAACTCTTGGCAATCTTCCACAAAAAAAAAAAAAAAAAAAAAAAAAAAAGTGTATTTTTGATAAATTGCTAACATTGAAGCCTCTCAAATGTAATTCTTAAAATATTTATATTCTCAGATGCAATGTTTATCATGTGATCTTAACTATAATGGCATGTAATGCTTGACTGTGATGACACGGAGGTAACATAGAGCTAAGAGAGTGAAAAAAAGAAAACTAAATAGGATGCTTATCTTCATAGTTTTGGGTTCTGTATAGCAGTATTTTTGTTAGACTCAAATGTACTGTCAATTTATCATAATCTACTAATTAATCAAAGTTGTTTGTAAAATTATAGTTAGTCCAAGGAGTCATATGGAATGATATAGTATCCAGAGGATTGGTATCTAAAAAGAAATTTGTATCATAGAAATCGTAGAAGTATTTTTAAATGTTTCTTTGTTACTCTGCTAACCATATTTTTAAGAAGAAAATGCCTAAGTCGTCCCCCCCACACACACACACAGTGATCATCTCAGTAAATTTCAAGATCATATTATTGCTGGCATGAGAGACATGCAGATGAATTTATTCCTAGCTGCTAATACAAGGCCCAATTAATGTAATCTATATGGATAAATCTATGTAATCATCATCCATATGTATACAGTCAAAATTCTTTAATCCGGACTCGTTGGGACTTTGGCGATTTTGGATTATCGGTTTTTCCGGATTATAGATCATTAGTTTAAATCTGGTAAGATGGCATGCAGAAATTATAAAATTAAAAATATGAAACCGTAATTTATGAAATAAAGAGCAATTATGATCTAAATGGTATCAAAATTTACCAAAAAAAAGCTTAATATTTATTTGCTTACTTTATTAAACATTTCTTTCAATGCGCGTAGGCGTAAAGCATACATTACGCATAGTCGGAATTAGAAAATTGCAACCAGAAGACTATTTGATGTGTATTCATGATATTTATAATGACGAAGAATTTGATTTAAATCATATCAAAGACGGAGTACATCGAAATGAAATACTACATTTAGTAAGGAATTATAAGCTGAATGAAATAAAACATCTGCCCTGAAGATAAGGATAGTGCTGACAGATCAACTTCCAGTTCATTGCGCGCCATGACCCCCTGCAGAGCAGCGTGAAATTGATAAACAGATTTCAGAATGGTTTGAAAAACAAAGGAAATTCCTTTATCCATTTTTTGCAGCAATTCCACTCTTTGTTTGATGGACGTCAAAACATGCTTTCGCTTTGTAGATCCTTTGGCAGTTCCAGAATCAGAAATTCTTTTTGATATAATCGAAAGTTCAAGCTTACTTTTATAAACTTGCTTTAACAGTCTGCAAAAAATTATAAGGTGGATCCAATTAGAAGATTAAGGAACAATGCAATCTACAACATTAACTGAAATAGATAATTAGATAATTTTAGCTTAGCTCATACCGTCTATTATACATTAAACGAGCATGCGCAGAAAGTTTGTAGCTATGAGGTTCGGATTATACATCTTTCCGGATTATGGATGTCCGGATTAAAGACTTTTGACTGTATAATCAGATATAGATACTGTGAGTCCTAGACAGAAGGCTCTTTCAAAGGTCATCAGTATCCACTTTCCTGGCTTTTATGAGGTCAAACTAGTTTATGAGGAATTCGAAATGCATTTGAGCTATTAAATGCTGATTTTGAATTGGAGTTTAGTTTTCTTCAACAATAAAGAATTCAACTAGAGGTGAAATGTGTGTAAGTGAAATATAAAATTATGCCAAAATAGCAGGCTTAGATTAGCATATACATTAAATAAAACTTTACTGATTTCAAGGGTTGTCAGGTTTAAGATAACAGGACATAAATGAACAAATATAGATCCCCATTTTTCGGCAGCAAAAAGTTTTTTTGCAAAGAGTGGAGAAAGC